AAGACCAGAGAGCTGTGTAAGGACATCAGGGATAAAATTGTAGACCTGCACAAGGCTGAGATGGGCTACATGACAATAGGCAAGCAGCTTGGTGAGAAGGCAACAACTGTTGACGCAATTATTAGAAAATGGAAGAAGTTCAAGATGATGGTCAATAACCCTCGGTCTGGGGCTCCATGCAAGATCTCACCTCGTGGGGCATCAATGATCATGAGGAAGGTGAGGGATCAGCCCAGAACTACACGGCAGGACCTGGTCAATGACCTGAAGAGAGCTGGGACCACAGTCTCAAAGAAAACCATTAGTAACACACTACGCCGTCATGGATTAAATTCCTGCAGCGCACGCAAGTTCCCCCTGCTCAAGCCAGCGCATGTCCAGGCCCGTCTGAAGTTTGCCAATGACCATGTGGATGATCCAGAGGAGGAATGGAAGAAGGTCGTGTGGTCTGATGAGACAAAAATAGAGCTTTTTGGTCTAAACTCCACTCGCTGTGTTTGGAGGAAGAAGAAGGATGAGTACAACCCCAAGAACACCATCCCAACCGTGAAGCATGGAGGTGGAAACATCATTCTTTGGGGATGCTTTTCTGCAAAGGGGACAGGACGACTGCACCGTATTGAGGGGAGGATGGATGGGGCCATGTATCGCGAGATCTTGGCCAACAACCTCCTTCCCTCAGTAAGAGCATTGAAGATGGGTCGTGGCTGGGTCTTCCAGCATGACAACGACCCGAAACACACAGCCAGGGCAACTAAGGAGTGGCTCCGTAAGAAGCATCTCAAGGTCCTGGAGTGGCCTAGCCAGTCTCCAGACCTGAACCCAATAGAAAATCTTTGGAGGGAGCTGAAAGTCCGTATTGCCCAGCGACAGCCCCGAAACCTGAAGGATCTGGAGAAGGTCTGTATGGAGGAGTGGGCCAAAATCCCTGCTGCAGTGTGTGCAAACCTGGTCAAGACTTACAGGAAACGTATGATCTCTGTAATTGCAAACAAAGGTTTCTGTACCAAATATTAAGTTCTGCTTTTCTGATGTATCAAATACTTATGTCATGCAATAAAATGAAAAATTAATTACTTAAAAATCATACAATGTGATTTTCTGGATTTTTGTTTTAGATTCCGTCTCTCACAGTTGAAGTGTACCTATGATAAAAATTACAGACCTCTACATGCTTTGTAAGTAGGAAAACCTGCAAATTTGGCAGTGTATCAAATACTTGTTCTCCCCACTGTATATGGGACAGCTGTCAATCCTTTGGTCCTTAAATGAAACTGATATACTTTTTTATTTATCACAGTTTTCTTTAACCAATTATGTTCATTAATGCAGGGCCGACAGACAAGTTCCTTACTTTTTCCCCCTTCCACTTTCCTCTTCCATTTTTGCGGGAATGCTGCAATTATTTGGTTGTAATTTTGGGTAGAGCAGACATTTCCATATGTTTTTGTTAGCTGCATGTGCGACATAACTCCACCAGTCCTACCGATGATATCATTTACGAAGATTATACCTTTTTTAAACACTTTTTCAAAAAATAATGTTTTTTTATCCTGGTGTTTATGCTAGGTTGTGATCAGGGCACAGCTGGTGCAAGCGTTAAGCCCTAGAAAAGCACCACATTCCCTCAGCATTGTTATGATGCCTTCCAAAACAAACAACCCTGTCCCAACATCCCCCTAACGTTGGAGCAACGTTCTGCCTGACCAGGGCCATGCCGGGTGCTTGTGTTGGCTGCAGACATGTGATTGAAACGTCAACAGTGAGTCAAATGGTCAGAGTTTCCGTTTTCTTGTAGGAATGCCAGGCTTTCTGCTCCAGAGCCGTTCCCTCATAGGGAAATAAAAAGGCTTTACCCCCCCCACACACACACACATACACACACAGACACATACACACACACACACACACACATACACACACACACACACACATACACACACACACACACACACAGCTGCAGTATGGTACTGTGGGTTTATGTCAGGGTGTTGACAACATCTCAACGTCTGACCCCCCCTCAGAATTCCAACAGAATTCCAGAATTCACAATCTTGAATTGAAGTGATGTGTGTTTAGCAGTGTTTCCAAGAGTTGCATGTTCTTTTGAACGACTCATTTGTGGAGCGTTAGGGAGGGGTCATCTTGTACTGAAACTTTGGCTAGCTCACTTCTCTATCAGAGAGAAAGTACCCTACAAGTTAGTACCCTACACATTAGTACCCTACAAGTAAGTACCCTACAAGTAAGTACCCTACAAATTAGTACCCTACAAGTTAGTACCCTACAAGTTTAGTCTCACTCTTTCTCCATCTCTATCTGCCCCTTTACCTCTAACTGCCACTCTTTCTCCATCTCTATCTGCCCCTTTACCTATAACTGCCTCTCTTTCTCCATCTCTATCTGCCCCTTTACCTCTAACTGTCTCTCTTTCTCCATCTCTATCTGCCCCTTTACCTCCGACTGCCTCTCTCCATATCTATCTGCCCCTTTACCTCTAACTGCCTCTCTTTCTCCCTCTCTTCCTACATGTTCTCTCCTTTTACCTCCCTTTGATATCTCTATCTATCCCTTCCCTTCTATTCCTCTCTCTTCTCCCTCTGTTTTATCTTCCTCCTTTGTCCCTCCTGCCTCTCTCTCGCTCGTTCTCTCCCTCCTTCCTTCCTTCCCTTCCTCTCTCTCTCTCTCTCTCTCTCTCTCTCTCTCTCCTCTCTCTCTCTCTCTCTCCTCTCTCTCTCTCCGTCCTCTCTCTCTCTCTCTCTCTCTCTCCTCTCTCTCTCTCCTCTCTGTGTGTGACTGAGAGAGATAATACATGAATACATGGCTCATTCTCAAAACTAACATTAGCTGAAAGGTTATCTAGCTTTGTTCCTGCTCTTTTCTCCTTATTAAGTTATTGGATGAGTAGATGGCAGACTACTATGGCAGGCCAGCAGCCTGAAAGGTCAGTTTGTAGTTTATGAGCTCTCACTGTCATAACTTGAGAAAGGGGCTACTCATACATTGGAGAAAGGCTAGAGTTGATCATGTTCTCCAGAAGTGTGTAGTATAATCCAAATTATTCCCTGAACACACTGTGTTTATGTAACATAATGTAACGAACTAATCCATGCTCTGTGCGTGTGTGTGTGCGTGTGTGTGTGCGTGCGCACGTGTGTGTGTGTGTAGGGTGGCCAAGGCCCTGAAGGTGACGTTGTATGAGACTCCTACAGGCTGGAGGTTCTTTGGAAACCTGATGGACTCCGGGAGGTGCTCGCTCTGCGGAGAGGAGAGCTTCGGGACAAGTGAGTGTTACTGACTGTTTCTCTCTACTCCTGTTTGACATTCACATTCATCTGAGTCGTGCTGCAGCTTGTCAGCAGCTTAGTTTGCTTACCTTTCAGTAAAAGCCAGTCTGTTCCTAGAGCATCCATATCAGAGGAGGCTGGTGGGATGAGCTCTAGAAGAATGTGCTCATTGTAATGGCTGGAATGGAATACATGGAATGGACGTGTGGTTTCCATATATTTCATGTGTTTGATACCGTTCCATTAATAACATTCCAGCCATTACAATTAGCTCGTCCTCGTATAGCTCCTCCCACCAGCCTCCTCTGATCCATATACAGTACATCACATCCCTAAATAGAGAAGCCTGCCTCTGGTCAGAGTCATCCCAGCCTAATAGATGTGAGGGGCCGTGTGTGTGTGTGTGTGTGTTGTGTGTGTGAATAATCCCATTCTTCTGCTATAAAAGGAGAGAGGAGCTCCGTGAATCACCAGAACCCACGGGCCTCTGCCGGCAGCTGCTGCTGCTGCTCAGCCCACCAGGAAAAACTCTCTCCCTGCAGCTAACTCTTATTACCTTTCTTTCTTTCTTTCTTTCTTTCTTTCTTTCTTTCTTTCTTTCTTTCTTTCTTTCTTTCTTTCTTTCTTTCTTTCTTTCTTTCTTTCTTTCTTTCTTTCTTTCTTTCTTTCTTTCTTTCTTTCTTTCTTTCTTTCTTTCTTTCTTTCTCTCTCTCTCTGTCAATCTGCATTGCAGAGAACATCTTAGGAATCTGAGATAGAGAGAGAGATAAATAAGTGAGGGAACAGGAGAAAGAAATAGAGCAAGTTGAAGTGAACAGGAGAGGAAAAGAGAGAGAGGAAAGGAGAGAGAAACAGGGGGACAGCAGAAAAGGAAGTAATTAAGTGAAATACAGAAGAGGGGGATTGGAGAGCAGAGGAGAAAGTGGAAGAGAAAGAGATGGACAGGACAGAGTGCTGTGTGAGTTTCTGCTTTGCTCGACCCATTTAAGGCCAAATGTCTAGAAGGAGCTCTGAGCAGCAGTAAATCAGGACTATGCTCTCCACTCAGAGCTCAGTGTTCTATCCTCTCTCTCTTCCTGTTGGCTGGAGCTTTTATTCATGTCATGTTATGAACATTAGTCCGCTCCATATTTTTTGTCCATTCTAATTTACATCCATAGGGTCCAGTGCCATGTTTTATGTAGCATCTCTACCTACTGTACATTCTGCTCAGTAAGGTATTACACTCACTTTACCACCTCCATTTATATAACATATTACATAATTTGAGCTTTGAGATCTCGTTAAAGTGCTCAATAAATCCAATACATTATTATTGCTCATTATCTTTAAATTGGCAGAGAATAACATTGGTGGCATGCAGCTAAAAGATATTCAGGTCAGGAGATAGAAGAGTGATGTTGTGATGCAGATGGAGACAGGACTGATCTTGTAATTCTGATCTGATGACAGAAAAATTTGATCTGGTAGTTTTATGCGACAGCTTGTAAAGACCTCCTGCACTGGCGTGTGTGTGTTTGTGTGCGTGTGCATGTGTCCATAACAAAATTCACTTAAATTGAATCGGAAAGACAGAAAGGGGGTGGAGAGAGACAGCGGCGAGTCAGCGAAAATTGGCAACTGTCAGTTTCCCAACAGCTGCTAGGGCCAGGATTACTAAGCATTTACACCACAACGAAGTTTACACCTGTTAGTTTCCACAGGAAATACAACATGGAGCATAAACACAGGAAATACAACATGGAGCATAAGACAAGTATGTATAAATAAGTAAAAGATTCTGATCTAAAGGAAAGATAGATTTAGACTTTAAGACTTTTTATTCCATATACTTAGCTTTAGTCTTTTATTCCCATCTAAAAGTAACAGGTATGAACTTTGCACTGTGGCTCACACTTACATCTGGTCCTTAGTGTAGAATAGCAATAGCCAACCCCTGTTAGAGACCATTGGCAGTGTGAACAGATTGATCTCTCCACAGAGAGACTAGCTGCACTTAGAGAGATACCAGTCTGTCAGTGTTATACTCCTCTCTCCCCAGACACCTGTGGTCTCTGCAGCTGATGTCGTACACTGAGTGTACAAAACATTATGAACAGCTGCTCTTTCCATGACATAGACTGACCAGGTGAATCCAGGTGAAAGCTATGATCCCTTATTGATGTCACTTGTTAAATCCACTTAAATCAGTGTAGATGAAGGGGAGGAGACAGGTTAAAGAAGGATTTTTAAGCCTTGAGACAATTGAGACATGGATTGTATATGTGTGCCATTCAGAGGGTGAATGGGCAAGATAAAAGATTGAAGTGTCTTTGAACAGGGTATGGTAGTAGGTGCCAGGCGCACCGGTTTGAGTGTGTCAAGAACTGCAACGCTGCTGGGGTTTTCACGCTCAACAGTTTTCTGTGTGTATCAAGAATGGTCCACCACCCAAAGGACATCCAGCCAACTCTGGGAAGCATTGGAGTCAACATGGGCCAGCATCCCTGTGGAATGCTTTCGACACCTTTTAGAGTCCATGCCTGATGAATTGAGGCTGTTCTGAGGGCAAAAGGGGGTGCAACTCAATATTAGGAAGGTGTTCCTAATATTTGGTATACTCAGTATATAGTGGACCCTATTATCCAAACACCGTGCTTAACACTCACTAGATTAGAGTGTCTGCTAAATGAATAAAATAAAATAAATATAACACATACATTCAGCATATGTGGCCATGCGGAAATCAAACCCACAACCCTGGTGCTGCAAGCACCATGTTCCAACCCAACTGAGCCACATGTATCGGTATTATGAATAGTACTACCAACAGAATGTGTTGTGAGAGAGCCGTCTGCCTGTTCTTCCATAGGCCATCTGTAGATAGCCATCAGCCACCCAGGAGAGGCGTTCAGTGATGGTGTGAGAGCCAGATAAATAAAACTAGCGGCTGTTAAATTCTATGGCTCAGAGCTGAACTGAAGGGTTCCTGTCAGAATGTCTAAATATCCCATGTTGGTCTAACATCCCACTCTGCTCCCTATGTTTAAAACAGGGTTATAACATGGTTATAAAGGTTTATGGTCTCCTGGGTGAACTTGTGTCCCCTTGTGTCTCTTGTTCAGGTTCAGACCACATCCGTGAGAAGGATGGTCTGTGGTCGGTGCTGGTGTGGCTATCCATCATGGCTGTCAGGAAACAGGGCGTGGAGGAGATCGTCAAGGACCACTGGGCCAAGCTCGGACGCAATTACTTCTGCAGGTCACTCTGCTATGCAATCAATCAATCAACCAATCAACCAACCAACCAATAAATCAACCAATCAATAAACCAATCAACCAATCAATCAATCAGCCAATCAATCAACCAATCGGTTAATCAATCAATCAATCAGTGGATTGCAATACATGTATAGTGAACACAGAAAGACACATTGAAGATGTCATGTCCTTATCTAATCGCCTTGAATAGACTGGGATGCTTCTTTCTGTGTTTGTCTCTGTGCTTGTGGTTTCTATGAGTGTTTGTGTGTCTTTATGCCACATGCATGCTTGTGTGTGTATGTGTGTGCCCATGTGTTCACACCTGTGTGTGTGTGTGTGTGTGTGTGTGTGTGTTCCCAGGTTTGACTATGAGGGCGTGGACCCCAGAGCTGCATTCTACCTGATGAGAGACTTGGAGGGGGTGATCACAGACAAGGCCTTTCTTACCCAGAAGTTTGCTGTGGGGACTAACGTCTACAGCGTGGAGCGGGCTGATAACTTTGAGTACATCGACCCTGTGGACGGAACCGTGGTCCGCAACCAGGTCTATATAACTGAAACATGGCTCTTAGAGGAGAGGAGAGGAGAGGAGAGGAGAGGAGAGGAGAGGAGAGGAGAGGAGAGGAGAGGAGAGGAGAGGAGAGGAGAGGAGAGGAGAGGAGAGGAGAGGAGAGGAGAGGAGAGGAGAGGAGAGGAGAGGAGAGGAGGTTGTCTATGATGAGGTCAATATAACTGTTCACTTTATTAGTCAATTAAATACCATCTGAAAAGTCAGCACATATTCCCCTTCTCTCTATCCTTCTCTACTTGTGTCCTCCTACCCCTCTCTGCTCCAGCCCACCCAGATAACCATGTGTTCGGACTGGGGTTCCATGTTTGGGCATGGCTGTCTCTAATCCTTTACCTCAGCCAGTACACACACACACACACACACACACACACACACACACACACACACACACACACACAGCAGAGCCCTGCTTTGCTTTAGTAAAAGACAGAAACAGGACAGCCAGACAGGCAGAGGAACAGTAGTGTAATAATGGTGTGATATACAACCTGTTGCTTAGGAACCGTCGGCCTACTGTTGATGGTAACACATCTCTGTAGTGCTTACTTCACTGTTTCCCGATTGGTGAGAGGGGACCTGCTAGTCACAATCGAGTCTATGGCATTGGTTCTGGTGACATATTGAGAAGACTCCCAAAGCTTTAGGTGGGTCACAGGGCTAAAAGGTTTAGGAACAAGTGATATGTATACAGCAGTGATGTCACAGTGGCTAATGTATGATGTTTTGGCTTGGCCTTTATTCTGATTGGTAGATCTGGTTTAGCCTGGGGACTTTAATCTCATTGGTGGATGCAGATATGTCTCGGCTGGGCCTTTATTGTGATTGGTGTAAAGACTGATGAATCAGAGTCTGTCAGCCTCAGTAAAGATGATGAGTGTTACACAGTCTACTGTTGGGAAATGTAAACACACACACACAGGCACACACACACACACAGAGGTACACACACAGACAGGTACAGCCTTTTCACTTGGCTGCTGTCCCATCCTCCCCACACACCCTGGAATATCTCCTGGCGTAGACACTTTTCAGTCTCCAGCCCCAGCTCATACTACACACACACAATAATATCACACGTAAATCCCATTGGTGTCAAGTGTCATGGCCAGGGAGGTATGATGTCATAAGAGATGGTGTGTGTGTTTGTTTTTAGTCAGTCACCCTCCCAATCAGGCGTGTCAGAGTAGCCGGATCAGACCTCGGCCATCCTTCACTGTCACAGTGAACTCCACAGAGGCACAGCAGTTACAGCTAGTTAGTCACTCAGCTAAAGGTGTGACAGCTTCTCCCTCCCTAGTAAACCTACTACCCCTGTGTATATTCAGGACATTATCAGCTGTCGTCTCTCTGTGAGAGGGGGAGGTGCTGTCTGTTGTATGCGTACACACTCCATATATTTATGTCATTTAGCAGATGCTCTTATCCAGAACGACTTAAAGGAGCAATTAGGGTTAAGTGCCTTGCTCAAGGGCACATCAATATATTTTTCACGTAGTTGGCTCGGGGATTTGAACCAGCGACCTTTCAGTTATTGGCCTAACACTCTTAACCACTAGGCTACCTGCCGCCCCATTCATAAACAGAGACACATGCTCACAGATATAGCAACACGCACACACAGACACACACACACACACACAGACTGGCTGTGATGACAAGTTGAGAGAGGCTTTACAGAGCTATGCCTGGGTTGCCTCTGTAGCCTGCTACTGAAATGTTCCCACAAAGAAAGACTACACACATACTACTGTACATTGAACCTCTCTCTCTCTGACACAAACACCTACATATAGACATACAGGGATGTACTGTAGGTAAACATATTAAATGCACACACACACACACACACACACATGCATATGACTACAGTGGCATCTAGTGGTGTCAGTTGATACTGCATTAAACAACACTGACTCTCCTCTGTCTCACCGCTGCTAGTCTGTCTGTCTACCTGTCTCACTGCCTCTGGTCTGTCTTTCTACCTGTCTCACTGCCTCTAGTCAGTCTTTCTACCTGTCTCACTGTCTCTGATCTGTCTGCATACCTGTCTTACTGCCTCTGGTCTGTCTGCATACCTGTCTCACTGCCTCTAGTCAGTATTTCGACCTGTCTCACTGTCTCTGGTCTGTCTGCATACCTGTCTCACTGTCTCTGGTCTGTCTGCATACCTGTCTCACTGCCTCTGGTCTGTCTGTATACCTGTCTCACTGCCTCTAGTCAGTCTGTCTACCTGTCTCACTGTATTTGGTCTGTCTGCATACATGTCTCACTGCCTCTGGTCTGTCTTTCTACCTGTCTCACTGCCTCTGGTCTGTCTTTCTACCTGTCTTCACTGCCTCTGGTCTGTCTTTCTACCTGTCTCACTGTCTGTGGTCTGTCTGCATACCTGTCTTACTGCCTCTGGTCTGTCTGCATACCTGTCGCACTGTCTCTGGTCTGTCTGCATACCTGTCTCACTGCCTCTAGCCAGTTTTTCTACCTGTCTCACTGTCTCTGGTCTGTCTGCATACCTGTCTCACTGCCTCTGGTCTGTCTGCATACCTGTCTCACTGCCTCTGGTCTGTCTTTCTACCTGTCTCAATGCCTCTAGTCAGTTTTTCTACCTGTCTCACTGTCTCTGGTCTGTCTGCATACCTGTCTCACTGTCTCTGGTCTGTCTGCATACCTGTCTCACTGCCTCTGGTCTGTCTGCATACCTGTCTCACTGCCTCTGGTCTGTCTGCAAACCTGTCTCACTGCCTCTAGTCAGTCTTTCTACCTATCTCACTGTCTCTGGTCTGTCTGCATACCTGTCTCACTGTCTCTGGTCTGTCTGCATACCTGTCTCACTGTCTCTGGTCTGTCTGTATACAGGGACTGCGGATCGTCTTCACTGATGCGTCCCGTCTGGTCTTCCGTCTGAGTGGGAGTGGGGGAGGGGCCGGGGCCACAGTCCGGATCTACGCAGAGAGCTTCGAGAGAGACCCCGAGAGACATAACAGAGAAACTCAGGTAGGGAGTTCACTGGAATCCATTATGATAGGTCTGTTTCTGACAACTTAGGAATTCAAATTATTGAGACAATTTCAAACCGTTCCAGTGTTTTATGAGGGTCTATCCCATCATCGGTTCCTTGTGTAGTTATGAACTTACAGGCCGATAAACTAAGGAGAGGATCAATGCAACATTATCATTTTCATTGATCCATTTGATTTATTCTTTAACCACAAGGACAATGGCATTGTCAACAATAGGGTATGGTTCAAAATGGTTGCATGCAATATGATCCTATAACACAACCCACCTCCAACTGGGTGTCTGACCAACATGTGACATGGTGACATTACATGTGATAGTTGTTTTAGCTGCTCGGTAGACTTTGGATATGGTGTGGCCATATTGTGTTTGACTGGTAGTGTACTTTAACCATGCCACAGTATTAGTCAGTATAGAGGTGAGCGCTGTTTTGATGCCATGGCTTAGTTATCAGTGATCAGTTATGATGAAACACGGCTGGCTTTGATTAGATTGATCAGTTCCATGTAAACATTCTCTCACAAACTGCTTTGAATTGAGCCAGGAAACGCCTATACCATTGGATCTGTAGTCATGACGCAACATGTGGCTTAGCGCCGTGGTTACCATGGTTACCTCACTAAACAGGTTACTTCAGGTTGTGAGTTGCACCAACACAATACAACTGTTAAACTGTCAGTGGATACTAAGGTGCTGCTGGACAGTATAAAGTTAGCCTGGAGTTGACTGGCTTTGCAACACACTGATAATGGATTAAATTCTTTGCAGAGGTGTTTCATATGTCCTTTCTGGCCAGGACATCAGACAGAAAGTCCAAAGTGAAGAGAAGGGACTTGGTAGTAACCTGTTTGTTGGTCATGATTCATGACGCTTGTTGTTTCCTTGGTTAATCTCTGTTATAGTTTATAGTGTGTGTGTATTGTGTGTATTCTGTGAAGTGTGTATAAAGCTGTGTGTGTGTGTTCTGTGTCCCAGGCGGTGCTGGGTCCCCTCATCGCCATTGCCCTGAAGATCTCTGACATTCACGAGAGGACAGGACACCGTGGCCCCACCGTCATCACCTGAGCTCTGCTCCACTGCCCACACACACACACACACACACACCTGAGTGCTCCCCCCATAAACACACATCTATGGCCAAATCCCCAAGGCCACCCCGTCCTGCTTGTTGCCACACCTGGGGCCAATATTAAGCAAGAGCTACATGTATTCTCTCTCTCTCTCTCTCTCTCTCTCTCTCTCTCTCTCTCTCTCTCTCTCTCTCTCTCTCTCTCTCTCTCTCTCTCTCTCTCTCTCTCTCTCTCTCTCTCTCAAAATGTAAGATATTATGTAATCTGCAAAGAAAAGAAGCAAACAGTTTATTTCAGTGGTTGATAAAACAACAGGTGTTCATGTAAGGATTCTGTTATGAAAGTTGTATTTTCTGGATGCATGAAATTACCACTGTACAGCTACAAAGCATGTGCCTTTATGTGTGTGTGTGTGTGTGTGTGTGTGTGTGTGTGTGTGTGTGTGTGTGTGTGTGTGTGTGTGTGTGTGTGTGTGTGTGTGTGTGTGTCTGATCATTATAAAGTTGACAGACGGAATTAAAAGGGAGAAGTCAATTATTTTGTTTTGTTTATGCTGCGTTTCACCTTTCAGGAAGTTTATGCCCATGTCGCGTGCACACACACAGACTTCACACACACGCACATTCTTCCAAGTATGTTTGACTATAGCCAGAGGTCATCAAACGCAGTCAGACACTACAATCAAATTGTAAATGATTGATGAGATTTAACTGATAGGTTATTGAGATAATGCCTATATGGATCTGTGAAGTGTAGTTGGTGGCTTAAAGTAGTCCCAACCACAGATGTTTTACTATCTTTAGATAGGCCACTCTATAAACTGTGAAATGTCAAGTTGCCTTAACAAGATGAAGTCAACTCTAACAGAAGGCTACTCCTCCCCTGACTTAATGTTAGTTTAACCCAGGCTTTACACAGAAATTATGTAATCAAATCAACTTTTATTTGCTACATGCGCCGAATACAACAGGTGTAGACCTTACAGTGAAATGCTTACTTACAAGCCCTTAACCAACAATGCAGTTCAATAAATAGAGTTAAGAAAATATTTACAAAATAAACAAAAGTAAAAAATTAAATAAAAAGTAACACAATAAAAGAACAATAACGAGGCTATATATAGGGGGTACCGGTACCGAGTCAATGTGCGGGGGTACAGGTTATTCGAGGTGGTATCTGTTAAGAACTTCCTGTTCCAAAGGGGCTACCACCACTTTTAGATCTTCTGCTCTTCATTAGACAGCCTGTTGTTGCCCTGTGTGATCGGAGTAAGCCATAGCTGTATTTCATTTGTTTTTGTTTTTTATCCAAATAAATTCTTATCTTTTGTGTGTAATCTCTTTTTACTTTGTCACTTCTGTTGCTGGGAACATTAGTAGGTAGAGCTATTCACCTCTTTTTAGTAGCATTTTCATCCTACTGAGCTGAGCCGAGCTGTACTGTGTTGGCCTGGGAATGCATCCGCCTAGTCGCTGGAACCATGATGCTGGAAAGGACATTGTGAAGAGAAAATATCTGAGCCATCACAGCATGGTTCGGGTAGACGCGATAGTGGGTAAAGGGTTGGTGGGTCCAAAGACTGCAATATGGTTCTTTACCTTCATCTTTGGTGGGTTTAGGACTATTCATGTGTATTCCCACTGTCATATGGAATTGTGTAGTACATGTGTATAGTGTGTATCCATACTTGTGTCCAGAGAAATATCCACCCACCTGTATCACTTTCAGACTTATTTATGCAGGTTTTATTTATTCAGATTATGACCTGTATTCTCCTGACCCAGACCAGATCAGCTGTATTTACAACTGTGTGACCTTCGAATTATAAGGTTATATCTGCAAAAAGATGATTCTTAAATAATTGGTCTGAATAACGTAACATGAATTAAGGTATTTAGAGTGCTATATTGGTAGAAAACATTGGACAGAAGAAGGCTATGTCAATAACTCAATTAGGACAAAAATTTAGATATAACTTTATAATTCCAAACTCTGTAGTCCTGATTCTGGATTCCTGTTCTGTAACCATTCTGGATTCCTGCTCTATAATAATTCTGGATTCCTGCTCTGTAACCATTCTGGATTCCTGCTCTGTAACCATTCTAGATTCCTGCTCTGTAACCATTATGGATTCCTGCTCTGTAACCATTCTGGATTCCTGCTCTGTAACCATTCTTGATTCCTGCTCTGTAACCATTCTGGATTCTTGCTCTGTAACCATTCTGGATTCCTGCTCTGTAACCATTCTGGATTCCTGCTCTGTAACCATTCTGGATTCCTGCTCTGTAACGATTCTGGATTCCTGCTCTGTAACGATTCTGGATTCCTGCTCTGTAACCATTCTGGATTCCTGCTCTGTAACCATTCTAGATTCCTGCCCTGTAACCATTCTGGATTCCTGCTCTGTAACGATTCTGGATTCCTGCTCTGTAACCATTCTGGATTCCTGCTCTGTAACGATTCTGGATTCCTGCTCTGTAACCATTCTGGATTCCTGCTCTGTAACCATTCTGGATTCCTGCTCTGTAACCATTATAGATTCCTGCTCTGTAACCATTCTGGATTCCTGCTCCGTAACCATTCTGGATTCCTGCTCTGTAACCATTCTGGATTCCTGCTCTGTAACCATTCTGGATTCCTGCTCTGTAACCATTCTGGATTCCTGCTCTGTAACCATTCTGGATTCCTGCTCTGTAACCATTCTGAAATCCTGCTCTGTAACGATTCTGGATTCCTGCTCTATAACCATTCTGGATTCCTGCTCTGTAACCATTCTGGATTCCTGCTCTGTAACCATTCTGGATTCCTGCTCTGTAACCATTCTGGATTCCTGCTCTGTAACCATTCTGGATTCCTGCTCTGTACAGGACTATCATAACCAACACCAGTAGTTATCTACCACAGGCTACATCTTTATATGGTTAGTGTATTGGTTTCCTCATGTCCTGTTCAAATGCACCATGTTTGTGACAGGGAAAAGGACTTCATGGGAATGCATTGAAGTTATTGTGGTGTTAATTGTGAGTGTGTGTGTGTGTGTGTCACATTACAGTAGATTGTTATACAGCCTCAGAAAGAAGACTTCGATTGCATAATGGCTTTTATTGCACTCATTAAATGTGAGTACATGACATTGTTTCCTTTCGGATACAAATAGGCGTAAGATTGTAAAAGACTGATTCCCTTTCATGAACTCTGGACACTTGATCTGTCTGTGGCAAGTTACCTAACATATCAGATTTAAAAGAAACTGGTGGCCAGTAAACAACAGCCATTACGCTATGAGCTCAGGAATTAGACCTACCTTAACCCCCAGGTGTGTGTATGTGTTCACAACAGTGTCTTCAACAACCTTTAAGTTACCAAGTGGACTGAGGTTGAGGAAGGCCCTTTTCTGTTTCAGCATGACAATACCCCCATGCACAAAGCGAGGTCCATACAGAAATGGTTTGTCAAGATCGGTGTGGAAGAACTTGACTGGCCTGCACAGAGCCCTGACCTGGGCAGATGTAACAGATTCACAGAGAATCACAGATTTTATGATAAAAGGTCCTTTATTTTTGATAAACATTATTTGCTTATGAAAGCTCTCAGTGGCTGCAGAACACATACAATATAAGAGTACAATACAACTCCATGTACAATGTTGTGATGTTGACATACTGTACAGTGCTCTTTGTAAACAGATACACTACATTACCAAAAGTATGTGGACACCTGCTTGTCGAACATCTCATTCCAAAATCATGGGCATTAATATGCTATAACAGCCTCCACTCTTCTGGGAAGGCTTTCCACTAGATGTTTGAACATTGCTGTGGGGACTTGCATCCATTCAGCCTCAAGAGCTTTAGTGTGGTCGGGCACTGATGTTGGGCGATTAGGCCTGGCTCACAGTCGGTGTTCCAATTCATCCCAAAAGTGTTCGATGGGGTTGAGGGCAGGGCTCTGTGCAGGCCAGTCAAGTTCTTCCACACCGATCTTGACAAACCATTTCTGTATGGACCTCGCTTTGTGCATGGGGGTATTGTCATGCTGAAACAGAAAAGGGCCTTCCCCAACGTGTTGCCACAAAGTTGGAAACACAGAATCGTCTACAATGTCATTGTATGCTGTTGCGTTAAGATTTCCCTTCACTGGAACTAAGGGGCCTAGTCAGAACCATGAAAAACAGCCCCAGACCATTACTCCTCCTCCACCAAATGTTACAGTTGTTTCTATGCATTGGGGCAGGTAGCGTTCTCCTGGCATCCGCCAAACCCAGATTAGTCCGTCGGACTGCGAGGCGTGATTCATCACTCCAGAGAACGCATTTCCACTGCTTCAGAGTCCAATGGCGGCGAGCTTTACACCACTCCAGCCGACACTTGTTATTGCGCATGGTGATCTTAGGCTTGTGTTCAGCTGCTCGGCCATGGAAACCCATTTCATTAAGATCCCGACGAACAGTTATTGTGCTGACTTTGCTTCCAGAGGCAGTTTGGAACTTGGCAGTGAGTGCTGCAACTGAGGACAGACTATTTTTAGGCGCTACGCGTTTCAGCACTCGGTGGTCCCGTTCTGTGAACTTTTGTTGCTCATAGACGGTTCCACTTCACAATAACAGCACTTACAGTTAACTGGGGAAGCTCTAGCAGGGCAGAAATTTGACCAACTGACTTGTTGGAAAGGTGGCATCCTATGACTATGTGCTCAATTTTATACACCTGTCAGCAAAGAGTGTGGCTGAAATAGCCAAATCCACTCATTTGAAGGGACTTTTGTATATACTTTTGTATATATAGTGTACCAATACTGCACTCAGAGTCACACCCAACAACAAGCAAAAACAAGCAGGTCTGTGCATGGTGGTTTTTTTAAGTGCATCATTCAGATTTACAGAGACACCTAGATTCTCTATCACCCTTCACTAGCATTCTGTAGACATTTGTCTTGATCAAATCAAATCAAATCAAATTTTATTGGTCGCATGCGCCGAATACAACAGGTGCAGACATTACAGTGAAATGCTTACTTACAGCCCTTAACCAACAGTGCATTTATTTTTAACAAAAAAAGTAAAAATAAAACAACAACAAAAAAAGTGTTGAGAGAAAAAGAGCAGAAGTAAAATAAAATAACAGTAGGGAGGCTATATATACAGGGGGGTACCGGTGCAGAGTCAATGTGCGGGGGCACCGGCTAGTTGAGATAGTTGAAGTAATATGTACATGTGGGTAGAGTTAAAGTGACTATGCATAAATAATTAACAGAGTAGCAGCAGCGTAAAAAGGATGGGGTGGGGGGCAGTGCAAATAGTCCGGGTAGCCATGATTAGCTGTTCAGGAGTCTTATGGCTTGGGGGTAGAAGCTGTTGAGAAGTCTTTTGGACCTAGACTTGGCACTCCGGTACCGCTTGCCATGCGTTAGCAGGGAGAACAGTCTATGACTAGGGTGGCTGGAGTCTTTGATAATTTTGAGGGCCTTCCTCTGACACCGCCTAGTATAGAGGTCCTGGATGGCAGGAAGCTTGGCCCCAGTGATGTACTGGGCCGTACGCACTACCCTCTGTAGTGCCTTGCGTTCGGAGGCCAAGCAGTTGCCATACCAGGCGGTGATGCAACCAGTCAGGATGCTCTCGATGGTGCAGCTGTAGAATTTTTTGAGGATCTGAGGACCCATGCCAAATCTTTTCAGTCTCCTGAGGGGGAATAGGCTTTGTCGTGCCCTCTTCACGACTGTCTTGGTGTGTTTGGACCATGATAGTTCGTTGGTGATGTGGACACCAAGGAACTTGAAGCTCTCAACCTGTTCCACTACAGCCCCGTCGATGAGAATGGGGGCGTGCTCAGTCCTCTTTTTTTTCCTGTAGTCCACAATCATCTCCTTTGTCTTGGTCACGTTGAGGGAGAGGTTGTTGTCCTGGCACCACACGGCCAGGTCTCTGACCTCCTCCCTATAGGCTGTCTCATCGTTGTCGGTGATCAGGCCTACCACTGTTGTGTCGTCGGCAAACTTAATGATGGTGTTGGAGTCGTGCCTGGCCATGCAGTCATGGGTGAACAGAGAGTACAGGAGGGGACTGAGCACGCACCCCTGAGGGGCCCCCGTGTTGAGGATCAGTGTGGCAGATGTGTTGTTACCTACCCTTACCACCTGGGGGCGGCCCGTCAGGAAGTCCAGGATCCAGTTGCAGAGGGAGGTGTTTAGTCCCAGGATCCTTAGCTTAGTGATGAGCTTAGAGGGCACTATGGTGATCCACCTGTAGCCCACTGTACTACCTGATGCTATAGGTTACTACTGTTCAGCCACTGTACTACCTGATGCTATAGGTTACTACTGTTCAGCCACTGTACTACCTGATGCTATAGGTTACTACTGTTCAGCCACTGTACTACCTGATGCTATAGGTTACTACTGTTCAGCCACTGTACTACCTGATGGTATAGGTTACTACTGTTCAGCCACTGTACTACCTGATGCTATAGGTTACTACTGTTCAGCCACTGCACTACCTGATGCTATAGGTTACTACTGTTCAGCCACTGTACTACCTGATGCTATAGGTTACTATCTTCAGCAATAGCTCAAGACAGTCTCATTCCTAGCTATAACTCCGACCTGTCTCCGTTCTCCAGACAACCATGACGCCAGGAGCAACAGGCTTTGCTGACATGCTCCGACCCTGTGCGGTAGCACCTCTCTCTGACCTGAAAAGGCCATGTCATTTACATCTCCTGAAGGGTCAGAGGTCAAAGGTCAGGCAGGGAGACACGCTTTTTAAACAGTACACAAGGGTGATGTCCTCACCTTCCAGAATCCACCATCTATCGACCGTCCAGCTCAGGACATGGAACTCTGTCCAAGCGGGAATGTTCTGGTTGCTCTGGAAGCCCATGTGGCTCCCTGTGCGGCTGCATGGCCATCTCAGAGTAAGCAGGTGGTTCTTCGTGGTTGAAGGTGTCGTCTGGGGCCTCGGAGATGTCCGGGGTGTACAGAGGTGGGGCCAGGTTGAACCTCAGGCCGTCTTCAGAGACCACCAGCACAGAGTAAGCTGCAGCAGCAGCAGAGGCGTGGTTCTGCTGAGACTCCTCATAGGAGGGAAGGTAGAAGCTGGATCTGGAGAGGACAACAGACACATTCCAAGTATGTTATTGAAAGGAAATTAGGCTTACAGTACATTTTACAACAAATATCATATGTAAGTGCCTATGTTAAGAAACCGTATTATGAATTCAGTTTATAAACATTTTGACAGCTAACCCTTAGTCTTGTGTACGTAATAGGAATATATAGATGTTTGCAATTACATGTACATTTTAGTCATTTAGCAGACGCTCTTATCCAGAGCGACTTACAGTTAGTGAGTGCATACATTTTTCATACTGGCCCCCCGTGGGAATCGAACCCACAACCCTGGCGTTGCAAATGCCATGCTCTACCAAGTGAGCTACACGGGGCCTGCAATGCACCTGACTGTTGATAATTCAATGTACTGTCACTGTATCAGTTTCTGTAAAAGTATCAAATTAAGTATTCAATAAAAGGAAAATGTACAATATGAATGATACACACTGAAAACAAAAAAACGCATCATGTAAATTGTTGGTCCCATGTTTCATGAGCTGAAATAAAAGATCCCAGAAATGTTCCTGAGGCCCATTGTGAGGGCACATTTTTTTAAGGTATCTGTGACCAACAGATGCATATCTGTATTCCCAGTCGTGAATTCCATAGATTAGGGCATAATGAATTTATTTCAGTTGACTGATTTTCTCATATGAACTGTTACTGAGTAACATCTTTTAAATTGTTGCGTTTATATATATATATATATATATATATTTCCGTATTTAAGTAATTCAGGCATTAATTGACTCTGTCCCCAGGTGAGTGAGATAGGCGTACCTGTCGACGGTGTAGACGTGGACGTGTGCAGTGGCATGGTGGCACCTGCTCCTCTGGTGCTGCATCTTCCTCTTCATGCCATGGCAGATGGTCCAGAAGACCCCGGTGAGGAGGGACAGGAAGCCACAGGCAATGAGGACATAGGCCAGGATGTAACTCAGGGTGTAGTTGTAGGCATTGTGGAGGGACATCAGGTAAGCCCCCACACAGATGAGGACAAAGCTCAGGGCAGGCAGCACCAAACGGGCCAGGGAACACAGGTGCTTCCTCGTATCCATGATCACTGGTCACTCTCTCTCTAGGTGCCTTCTCTCCCTTTCTTCAGGTGATTTCTCTCTCTCTCTCTCTCTGCAGGTGGAAGGAGAGGTGGTGGGAACTGAAGGTTGGTTGGCAGGTTTAGTAGAAGGTGGGGTGCTATCAGGTACTATAGCTTCTGTACACCTACAGAAGCAGAATGTTGCAGGAAGAACCAAGCGTTTACTGCCGTTCTACTACAGTATGACTGCTAAAAGTTGGAGGAAGTTTCTGTTGTCATGTTGTCCCACTATGGTGATGCAGGTACACTGTGGTTCCTTCCCTCGTCTGGCACCCTCTTTATGCCGTCAGACAAAGGGGAAGGGGCGGAGACTTAAGATGACTGTGTGAAAAACAGGATGACTCAGTTGTCTGGGAAACAAGGAAATAGCAGTTCCACCCTCATATCATACTTCCTCCATGACTGGATACAGCATGGTAATCAGAATGACTTCTAAGTTAGTAAAGGTCTAGGATTTTACAGTCTGTTTACCAGGTATTTATTAGGTTACATTTGAGTCATTTAGCAGACGCTCTTATCCAGAGCGACTTACAGTTAGTGAGTGCATACATTTTCATACTGGCCCCCGTGGGAAACGAACCCACAACCCTGGCGTTGCAAGCGCAATGCTCTACCAACTGAGCTACATGGTAACAGTGATTATGTCTAACTTAGTGAATAGAGAAATACCTGATGAAACAGCAGGTTAAAATGAAGCAATATTTATTTATGAACATATAAAAAAACAATAAGAAAATATGTTATTGCGAAAATTACAGGCGAATGTATTTGGATTAATAATAATCAAATATCAGACACAAATTATTTTGCTGTCAAATATGGTATTGTATTATGAGATTTTCTTCATAAAGATATATACAAAAGTAATATTGCCCAGATACAATTGTGTTGTTGTTTTGGCTCTGTACTCCAGCACTTTGGAATTTAGATGATACAATGACTATGACCTTAAAGTGTAGACGGTCAGCTTTCATTTGAGGGTATCTTCATCCATATCGGATGAACCGTTTAGAAATTACAGCACTTTTTGTACATAGTCCCCCCATTTTAGGGGACCAAAAGTATTGTGACAAATACACTTATATGTCTATTAAAGGTGGTCAAAAGTGTTGTATTTGGTCCCATATTCCTAGCACACAATGACTACATCAAGCTTGTGACTCTACAAACTTGTTGGATGCATTTGCTGTTTATAATTCAATGTACTGTCACTGTATCAGTTTCTGTAAAAGTATCAAATTAACTATTCAATAAAAGGAAAATGTACAATATGAATGATACACACTGAAAACAAAAAAACGCATCATGTAAATTGTTGGTCCCATGTTTCATGAGCTGAAATAAAAGATCCCAGAAATTTTCCTGAGGCCCATTGTGAGGGCACATTTTTTAAAGGTATCTGTGACCAACAGATGCATATCTGTATTCCCAGTCGTGAAATCCATAGATTAGGGCATAATGAATTTATTTCAGTAGAGTATTTGTGTTTAGCAGATGTTATAGCGGGTGTAGCGAAATGCATGTGCTTCTAGCTCCGACAGTGCAGTAATATCTAACAATTTCACAACATATACCCAATACACACAAAAAAGTAAGGAATGGGATTCAAGAATATATACATATATGGACAAGCAATGACAGAGCGGCATGGACTAAGATACAGAATAATATTATAGAATAGAATGCAGTATATACATATGAGATGAGTAGTGCAAGATATGTAAACATTATCCATTTCTTAAAGTGGCCAGTGATTTCAATAGGCAGCAGCAGCCTCAAATGTGCTAGTGATAGCTATTTAACAGTTTGATGGCCTTGAGATAGAAGCTGTTTTTCATTCTCTCGGTCCCAGCTTTGATGCACCTGTACTGACCTCGCCTTCTGGATGATAGCGGGGTGAACAGGCAGTGGCTCGGGTGGTTGATGTCCTTGATGATCTTTTTGGCCTTCCTGTGACATCGGGTGCTGTATGTGTCTTGGAGGGCGGGTAGTTTGCCCCCGGTAATGCGTTCGGCAGACCGCACAACCCTCTGGAGAGCCCTGCGGTTGTGGGCGGTGCAGTTGCCGTACCAGGCGGTAATACAGCCCGACAGGATGCTCTCAATTGTGCATCTGTAAAGGTTTGTGAGGGTTTTAGGGGCCAAGCCAAATTTCTTCAGCCTCCTGAGGTTGAACAGGCTCTGTTGTGCCTTCTTCACCACACTGTCTGCATGGGTGGACCATTTCATTTCAGTTTAATCAATAACAATGTAATACTACAAAGAAACACACAAGAAATTAGAAGAAATATGAAGAACACAATAAGTAAGTAAGTAAGCATACCATATACAGAGTCAGTTCCAATACCATATTTACAATGTGCAGGGATACTGGAGTGATGGAGGTAGATATGTATAGGGGTAAGGTGACTAGGCAATAGGATATAAGATAAACAGAGTAGCAGCAGCTTGTATGTGAGTGGGTCTGTGGGTGTGTAGAGTCAGTATTAATGTATGTGCATGTTATGTGTGAATGAGCAGATGATGAGTGAGAGTGTGTGTGAGTCTGCATAGAGAAAAATAAAAGGTAAATAAAGATACAACGTAAACTCGGTCCTTGTAGATATTTTGTTACCGACTTATCAGTCATATTGCTTGGGGATATAAGCTGTTCAAGAGGCTGTTGTTGCCAGACTTGATGCACCGGTACCTCTTCTTGTGCGGCAGCAAAGAAAATAGTCTATGGCTTGGGTGGTTGGGATCTTTGATAATTTTCCGGGCCTTCTTGATGGCAGGGAGTTCGGCCCCAGTGATATTCTGGGCTGTCCGCACAACCCTCTGTAGCACCATGCGATTGAGGGCGGTGCTATTGCCATCAAGAAGTGGCATATTGACTGGCTGCAGTGCTGCAGCCAGTCAATATGCTCTCAATGGTACAGCTGTAGAACCTTTTCAGGATTTGACGGCCCATGGCAAACTTTTTCAACCTCCTGAGGGGGAAGAGGCACTGTTGCACCTTCTTCATGACTGTGCGTGTGTGTTTGGACCATTTGAAGTCTTTAGTGATTTAGACACTGAGGAACGATCAGCTCCTTGGTCTTACTGACGTTGAGGGAGAGGTTGTAGTTCTGGCACCACACTGCCAGGTCACTGACCTCCTCCCTGTAGGCTGACTCATCATCGCCTTTGATCAGGCCTACCACCGTCGTGTTGTCAGCAAACTTGATAATGGTGTTGAGTCGTGCGTGGCCACACAGTCATGGGTGAACAGGGAATACAGGAGGGGACTAAGCACACACCCCTGTGGGGCCCCTGTGTTGATGATCAGTGTGGTGGAGGTGATGTTGCCTACCCTCACCACCTGGGGTCGGCCTGTCAGGAAGTCCAGGATCCAGTTGCAGAGGGAGGTGATCAGACCCAGAGTCCTAAGCCTGGTGAGGAGCTTGGAGGGGATAATTGTGTTGAACGCTGAGCTGTAGTCAATGAACAGTATTCTCACATAGGTATTCCTCTTATCTAGGTGGGTAAGGGCAGTGTGGAGAGCAATTGAGATTGTGTCATCTATGGATCTGTTGGGGCAGTATGTAAATTGGAGTGGGTCTAGGGCTTTGGGGGATGGTGGAGTTAATGTACCATAACCAGCCTCTCAAAGCACTTCATGATTACAGAAGTGAGTGCTACAGGGTGGTAGACACTGTGCTATGAAGCCTTAGAGTTCTTAGGAACAGACTGGGACAAGGAGAGGTTGAAAATGACCATGAATATCAAGGAGATAAGACTCAATAACTGTCAGAAAAGTGAATAAACCTTTTTTCCCGTCATTCTTGTGTATTTTATTCCTCTTGTGTAACAATTGTTTTATATGTATATATATTTATTGTTTTACTCTGCATCGTTGGGAAGGGCTCGTAAGCAATCATTTCATTATCAAATTTGATTTGATATGTAACAGTGTTACTCAATAGTGTCATCTGTCACATTGTATACTGATAGAACACAGCTGCAGGAATACGTAATAGTTTTTTTTTATTACCCTACCCAACATAAGGTACGTCATGGAAAACGATGGGGACGAAGCCCAAAACAAACAGGTATATACAGTGGGGAGAACAATTATTTGATACACTGCCGATTTTGCAGGTTTTCACCCCGCTATCATCCTACAAAGCATGTAGAGGTCTGTAATTTTTATCATAGGTACACTTCATATGTGTGAGACGGAATCTAAAACAAAAATCCAGAAAATCACATTGTATGATTTTTAAATAATTAATTTGCATTTTATTGCATGACATAAGTATTTGATACATCAGAAAAGCAGAACTTAATATTTGGTACAGAAACCTTTGTTTGCAATTACAGAGATCATACGTTTCCTGTAGGTCTTGACCAGGTTTGCACACACTGCAGCAGGGATTTTGGCCCACTCCTCCATACAGACCTTCTCCAGATCCTTCAGGTTTCAGGGCTGTCGCTGGGCAATACGGACTTTCAGCTCCCTCCAAAGATTTTCTATTGGGTTCAGGTCTGGAGACTGGCTAGGCCACTCCAGGACCTTGAGATGCTTCTTACGGAGCCACTCCTTAGTTGCCCTGGCTGTGGGTTTCGGGTCGTTGTCATGCTGGAAGACCCAGCCACGACCCATCTTCAATGCTCTTACTGAGGGAAGGAGGTTGTTGGCCAAGATCTCGCGATACATAGCCCCATCCATCCTCCCCTCAATACGGTGCAGTCGTCCTGTCCCCTTTGCAGAAAAGCATCCCCAAAGAATGATGTTTCCACCTCCATGCTTCACGGTTGGGATGGTGTTCTTGGGGTTGTACTCATCCTTCTTCTTCCTCCAAACATGGCGAGTGGAGTTTAGACCAAAAAGCTCTATTTTTGTCTCATCAGACCACATGACCTTCTCCCATTCCTCCTCTGGATCATCCAGATGGTCATTGGCAAACTTCAGACGGGCCTGGACATGCGCTGGCTTGAGCAGGGGAACCTTGCGTGCGCTGCAGGATTTTAATCCATGACGGCGTAGTGTGTTACTAATGGGTTTCTTTGAGACTGTGGTCCCAGCTCTCTTCAGGTCATTGACCAGGTCCTGCCGTGTAGTTC